TTATCCGCAACCGTCACTGGTCAGAGGTATGCACGATTTTGCGCAACCACGTGATTCCAGCTCTGCAACAGCGTAGGACGTGTGGATGAAATCAATTTTTATGCACGATGGCGCTTCCTCCGCACATTGCACATCCCGTGATGAAGCAGCTGCTGTGGCGCCATTTCGGAAATGCTCGAATTATCAGCCGTCATTTCCCTACAGCCTGACCGTCCCGATCGCCTGATCTTACTCCGTGTGATTTCTGGCTGAGGGATATCTGAAGGATGTTGTGTTCCGTGCTCCAACTGCAAATTTAGCGGAATTAATTAAAAGGCACGCATTTCGCAACACATTCTGAACATCACCCCGGAGGACACTGCGATCCGTTGTGGAAATGCTGTTTGTCGCTTTCAACTTGTTGCACACAAACGGTGGAACACCATATTGAACATGTTTTGCGCCAGTCTCGCGACAGTTCCGAACTGCTTTATGAATGGTTCTTATGCGGTATGTCGCCGCAAAAACTCTTGAAACCGATTTGTCCCTTTCGATGTGATATGTACAGTCATGCAAATAAAATTATTCAACAATTCTAATTTGTCAATGCGTTTTAATGTGTAACTTCCACCTTACCCGTTGTTTTACGAATCATTTCTCGTTTCTCGTCGTGATTTTCCCGCTTACAGCGCCATCTGTTGCTAACTTTTGAAACTAAATTTTTTCTTCTGCCATACGCTTTCCGCCTTCTTCAATAACATTCCTTTCAAATTTCACATCATTTCCATCAGTGGTTCTTTTTTTATAGCGTTTTGAAACTTAAACTTTAATTATAATCACCCTGTATTTAAAAAAAATAAATAATAAAGAATCTGCATGAATGTAGGTATGTTTCCTTCACTGTGAAAAAACGACGGTACCTTGAGACATCGAATTTTGAATAACGCAGTTCTCCACTCGAATATGGGCCTCTGGAAGCCCAAATTTGGAATTTGGAATTTGTTTTATAACCTATTTCATATTTTGTAACATTTAAAGGAATTTTTTATTAACAAACTCAACGATTTCAAAGCGAGCAATGGCTACACTGTACGGAAGAAAAAAAAAAAATCTCCAGCGTGCGAGACTGTGTATTGGAAATTCTAAAAATATGCTCTTTTTAAATTATTTTGTGATATTTCTGTTGAATTGAATTTTATGGTTTAAGTGCGAAGAGCAGGATATTTAATAAATATAGGTAACACACAAAACGTTTAAAAAAAACACCCTTTTGGGCGTAATATAACATTCGAAAGCTTTCACATCTTATTTTTTTTTATTATTATTATTTATTATTGTTCTAGTTATTCGTTAGGGAATCAGAGGCTTAATAACAAACCAAATTTAAGGAATTTTAATGCCCTCATTTCACCTTTCAACATTTCAAATTTTTCTTCATTATTGTTTTATAACGGCGGTGTAAATTGCTTTCTTCTGGTGTTGGTGTTCATTTTAAGGTATGCAATTTTATGTAATATAACATGCAAAAAAGTACAAAATGCGACATTAATTTTGAAAAATACGTTCTTCTTCGTCCACTTTTCTTTTACACTTGGCAGAGCTTGCAATTAAATCTCTTAATATTCCCTAATAATCTCTCACTATTATAATTTTATTTACTACTTCAAGGTCAAAGAAATGAAATTTTAAAAGCAGCACTCAAACTGTAATAACTAAAGTATAATGTAACTGTAATAACTAAAGTGTAACTCGATGTAACTAAAGTATAATATCTAGCAATAAGCACAAATAAATCAGTTTCATAAATCGTACATTTGTTTGTCTCTATTTACACAACAATATGATCTGGATATCAACAATATGACTGCCCAATATGGCTAATATCAACAATATGCAACTAACCAATCAATGGCAGGCATTACGAAAATACATATCAGCAGTGATAACGTGATAGGGAGAGAAATTGGAAACGCCACAATTTATTGACTGCTCAGATGCAGAAAGTTCTCTCGCCATACACCAGTCACGTGAGCTCTTATATAAGACCTCAGCAACAAAACTCCAGCCAATTCATTCTGTTTTTTTCGTCTCAAACACGTTAACCCTTTGCTGAACAGTGTGTCCGGTCTGGACACAGCTAAAAATTTCCTTCTGCACGCACAGAAAAATTGAATGAAAAAGGATTTATAGGTTACTCTGAATCTTCTCTATTTATAGTATATGGCAGCTCAACACAAACCAGTCCATATATTTTAGCCATGTTTAGTTTTTCATGTTAGTTTAGTAGCCTAAATTTCGAATTCGGGAAGAAAGAATCAAGTAAGAGTCAAGTAATAAAAAAATCAAGTAATCAAGTAATAAAAAAGAGATATATAAATATATATATATAATTCAATTAACTAAAATTCAACTAGCTAATTAGCTTAATTCAGTTAGCTAAAATTTTGAGTTTGAGCTAGCTTTTAAAAAATTACCTCGAGCTAATTTTTTAAAAACTGCACGTGTCATTCTTACAAAATTCTTGGCACTATGGCATAATTTCAATCGTAGAATCGAAATATGGAAAAAATTGGCATGTCATTTCAGAAAACGTCCGATTTTGTGTCAAAATACTTATATTAGAACAATGCCATATACAAATCTAATACATATATTAAGTCATGCTTTTGAGACATGAAAAATGCAATTTGAATTTCGTCAATCTGCTCAGTAGAACGGGAGATATAGAACTGTCCCCTTTTGTTTCGCTGTATTTATCGCAATGTGAAAAAACGACGTACCATCAAATTCTGAATAACGTACTCCTCCACTCCAACATTTACTCCTGGTCGCTCGAATTTGTTTTATCATCTTTTTCAGATTTTGTAAAACTTTAACGAAATTTTGATTAACAAACTCAAAGGTTTCAAAACGAGCAGTGGGAATACTGCACGGAAGAAACAGTTTTTTTCCAGCGCGCGAGACTGTCTATTGGAAATGCTAAAGGTATACTGTTTTTAAATATTTCGGGGTATTACTGTTGATTTGATTTATGTGGTTTAAGTGCGAAGAACATGATATTTAATAATTAAAGGTAATATGCCAAACGTTAAAAAACGGCCCTTTGGTCATTTTAACCACGTGCTGGTTCAGATTTCTTTTAACTTTTTGGATGAAGAAGCATGTTGGAGTACAATTCACAAGTAAATTTAATTAAAACAAAAAGTCTTTCAGATTTTATATTACGCCCAAATGGGCATTTTTTTTTTTTTTTAATGTACAGACGCATACACATTTCGACAGCATTTGGACTAACGCCACATTGTGCTAAAAATATTTAAACATAGCATATCTTTATAAATTTCGAATAGAGAGTCACGCGCTAGAGACAAATATGTTTTTTTTCCCTATAGTGTTGCCACTGCTCGCTTTTAAATCGTTGAGTTTTTTAATCCAAAATCCGTTAAAGTTTTACACAATATGAAATACGCCCCAATAAAACAAATTCCAAATTCGGGCTTCCAGGTGCCCATGTTCGATGGAAAATTATGTTATCGAAAATTTGATGTCTCTAGGTACCCTTGTTTTTCGCAGTGCAAGAAACATACATACATTCAATGTAGATTATTCATTATTTACGTTCTTTAAATATAACACAGGACGATAATATTTTGGGCAACAATTTGAAAAGTGATTCGGACATTTAAATAATTCGATCAAAATGCCGTCTTGAGACTAATAGCCCTTCTAACGTCCATTTGAGCTAATTAAAAAGTGTTACCGGTTATTATTTAGTGATATATCGGAGAGTATGTGTTTGCATTATAAATCAATTCAATAGTGAAAGACTATGAGCGCACTCCGTGGGCTTATAGTCTTTCACTATTGAATTCAAAGAGGGTAAACTCTTCTGAACAAGATGACAGAATAGAAGATGATAATAATAATAATAATAATAACAATCGCTTCTGAATACATGAAATATAGATGATGATGATGATGGAAAACAATAATGAGTAAATATTAACTACAATAAATTCAATTTAGCGGGTAAGCAAAGAAAAAAATTTAGATTCTTGACTTTGTGGAATTAATTTCGTTAAAAATATTTTAGGCTTACATTTGACACTATTTAAATGCGCTCATTGCCGGTAGATAAGAAAATTTAAAGGTTCATTTCAACAGTCCTTCAAAAACACTTCTTACGCATATTTATTTCAAACTCCATAAGGATTTATGTCATCTTATAATTATATTAGTATTATAATACATTGGTATCTCATAATTTCTGAAGCATATCAGGAAATAAAGCAAATGACAGAAATGAATGAAATGAAGAATAAAGGGAATTGGTAAGGGGAAAAAAGAAGAGCTTTTTAACAAGAACCTCCACACTTAAAAAAAATTGCGTATTTTTGCGTGTGTATTAAAGACAGCAGGAAATGTTAATTTGTTAAAACATCTTCTATCTCGTCATGCCACACTTCCTTTTCTCATTGATAGAATCCTACCTCTATTTCGAATGTGACTGATAACAAAGACTACTACACACAAAGAATACCGCAATAATATAGGACAAGAGAACGCTTAATGGATTTTGCTTTAGGAAATACATCTCATCATTCTGTAATAAAATAAAGGACAAAAATTCTTAAAATTTTAATGTCATTGATGTTTCATAAACCCTACTGTATGCAATGACATGTTTTTTTAAGACAAAGACATGAAGAAAAACTATTTACCTTTAAACTATACGAGGAAACGAGACTATCCACAAATATAAGGATAAAGCATTTTTTTTTCCCCGGAATTCTCAATTTCTTTTTCTCTTTTTCCTTCTGATAACAGGCTACTTGAAGAAGAAAAGATGGCTGATGGCCAGCAGCAACCAAGGTCAGAGCAAGGAGGTTAGAATAGAAGGAGGGAAGGTTCAACTTAAACGATGAAGCGTGGCGGCCATCTTCCTGTTATCACCGTGACTTGTGCAAGGAAGTCTGTCATTGCAAAATTTTTTTCTTTTCTTTTTGTTCTTTTTGAAGCATGTCAGCTTGTGTTGCGTATGGATGCACAAATAGATTCTCAAAAAAAATTCCGGGCATAACTTTTCACACGTAAGTATTGATTTTCTTTTTTTATGTAATATGACAACTATGTTAAAAAATATCACAATGTCATGTTTTCTTTCCAGATGTGAAAAAAAAGGACTTAAATAATCAAAACATGTTATGTAATATAACTATAATAAAAAAATGTTAAATACATTTTAATGTTTCTGTTTATAGCTGGTATCTTCCTTCCTTAAGATACAATGATATATGGTAGGATTTAAATTGTATAATTTGAACGTTTTAGGTAATTCTTTTATAACTTTCATGAAAAGTAAGAAATCATTTATTACTATTTTTATTAATTGTAAAGATGTTAAATAAAGCAATGCTTTTCTTTATATATTAATTATTATTCATTTTTTTTAAGTTAAAAAATTTTATGCGTAAACTTACAAATTTCTGGCCAGTATAGTGATAAAATTATGTAAAATATTTACACAAATGAACATGTGAAAAGATATATCCAAAAACTTATATAGGTGTATTTCTGTAATTCAGCTTAATTAAAGGCAGTTTCTTTGAGATTAATAAATATGAAATGCGCATAAACTGAAATAATTGAAATCACATAAATCTGTTTTATTTTATTATGATTTATTTTCTTGTTGTTATAAGGTTGTTGGTTGTGAAAAGGATCTTCTATTTAAAGCTTTCATTTAAAAAAATGCAAACTGTGACTATTTTTTTAGATAATTATTTGCTATTAATTTCAGGTTTCCTAAAAATGCAGAACGAAGAGCAGCTCCTATACCTTAAACTTTGTATATGAAATGATTCTTTAATAAATTATGATAATATTGTGAATAAATCAGATTTATCACTTTTTTAAAGGAAAAATTGGGAAGTACACACCCCCCCAACAGGTTGCTAATGAAACCTAAGCAAATCCGTGAAATATGCAGAAACATCATTTTCTAAAGGCTTTAATGTTATGCGCATGCATTTAGATTTCGAACTATTTCTTAATAATTTGCTGTACATAGTAAATTATGGATATCATCTTTATTACTTTAAAACAAAAATTCAACAATAGCGAAGCATTTCATTATAAATTTAACATATTTTTACTGGAAAATACATGCACGGAACAGCTTAGAAACACGTACATGTCACTAACGTAATGCAATGTTTTGAAGTCACAAACATGGATGCCGCTTGTCCGGCGGAGGTTTCAATCCCCGATAGTGGAGGAAACGGCGAATCCTCCCTCCTTCTATTCTAACCTCCTTGGGTCAGAGTGCTCGAAACCATGTGACATCCTCGTCCGGTCTCTAAAACACCAAGGCAATCTACATGCCCTCGGTGTTTCTTCAAACTAAACATGACATATAGCGGATTCACGATAGGGTCAAATGCACAGGGTTATTTTAAGCTTCTTGGAGTGAGTAAATCGTATTCCCGTGACTGTAGTAGTTAATTTGATCTCATTGACAAAAAGGTCCTGATTTGCATAAGGGCAAACAAGACATGTGCTCTCGGCTGCCACTTTCAGGGGGTCTCTAAATCCTTCTGTATTATTTAAAACAGGTAAAATTTCAAATATTATTTTGAAAGCCTTCGTTTTAAAAATATAAAATTAGAAGAAGAAATAAAATTTTTATTTCTCATTTATTTATTGATTGATTTATTTAATCAGACACTAGATATTCGTCTTGCACTCTAAGAAGCGACGCCATATCAACACTAACTTGCATATTGGCTGTACAAATTACTTTATCTAAACGATATCAGTCACGAGTGTAAAACAAGGGTCCAGTGTCCCACGGCAGCGTGAGCAACACAAATATGGTGGGCCCCACTTAGCGGGGCCATCACATTTGACATTTATGGTGCCATTTGAAAATTAGGGTTCACGCAGGTTAATTGATTAAAGAAAGGAACTCCATGGCTATCCGCTTGTGGGAAAGGAAGCCTTCGTGGAGGACCGTCTAAGAGAAACTGTCTCGTATCCATATTACCTACAGAATAAACCACGAAAACTCTCATTCACCTAGCCCATTCTTCAGGATTCGAACCCGGTACCTATGCCATATGAAAGTCTTTTAACTCTCGTACACTTGGTCATATATTTGAATTATCAAACTGATAAGCAATTTAACTGTAAAATTTAATCTCAGTATAGTAATTCATTTAATTAAAGTTTGAAAGCAACTGAAGAATTCTTTGAAACTATGCGATGCCCTCGCCGGGTGTTGAACCTGGACGTCTCGAATACGCTCCGAGTGTGCTACCGTTACACTACGAAGGCATGCTGGAAGGAGGAGGAAAATACCTTATACAGTCATTACGTTTACTTCGGAGCACGAAAAAAGGAAAAATCAGTAGTGTTCTCGCCTGGATTCAAACTCCGGATCGTTCGATTGCCAGACAGACGGACTTCCAATTATATCACGAAAACACGCGGCAAAGAAAGAAGAATCTTTACATCTTTATCCAGTGTTCTTCCTCTTCGCCAAGAAAAGAGCTCGCTTTAAAATTTGTTTACATGTCAAGCATTATATTACATAATTATGTTAAGCAACTTATATTCATTCTACTTGACAGCGAATAAAATAACCTAAGACATATAGAAAAGCGAAATGTTTTTGTTTAAATAACAAAATGAAAATATAGTAAATTTTTAATCAGGATATATGTTATAATTTGCATGGGTGCTATCAACTACACTGAAAATAGTTAGGTGACGAGGAGGGGATCCAGTTTCATGAAGCATGTCTCACTGAAAAGTCAGTTAAGAACTTATATTCCTGCATGAAAAGTAGTTTGTATTATCTGACATTGCTGTTAATTCAACATTTATTATTTCTTCCTACTTTCTAAAGATTTGGTCTTCAAATGTTGTTTCTCAAGGGACTCATTAAACTATAATTTTTCGGGGGACCACACAGAGATGAGAAAAATCGTGTGCGTGGTCCCCGCAAGTCACCCTGTTTAAGCTTTTACGACGTGTCTCGCGACATGGTTCTGACATAGCAGACGCAACAATTCATTCCAGTTGACAGTACAAGAGACATAACAGCACAACCAGTGTCAAGAGATTTTAGCGTTCTGCACTGTGTCTGTCCTCAAAGCCTTTCGATTTCAGAAGGGCTGACAAATGATCTTGTTTTTCCTCTGATATCGTTCCAGATATAACGAATCAGAGGATATAAAATACTACTGAACAATTAAGGAGGCGTGGCTTATTTAATCTGAAAATTTTTTTCCATCGGAACGACACGTCAGAATGCTCCTGAATTCTCGACTACAGAGATCCAGAATGCTCTTGAACTCTGAACTAGAGAGACTCTCATTATCAGGATCCTCAAGTCAGGAGGACTATACTTCACTTCAATGATTGCTCTATGCTATCCATGAATTATTAAAAAATGTTTCGCGTACAGTTTCAATGGTTTGTTTCGGCGAAACGCGATATAGAGTTAGCTTGATTCGAAATTCATTAAAAAATAATTTCCCCTGATTAGCCATAATGAGATTCGAATTAGGCTAATCTGCCATTTACTGCTTCTTAGTTTTTAATTTTTGCTCAAATAATTTGTTTGTACTACTAATGTTTAAATATACCTTAATTAGATTAGCATATTGCTTACTATTAGTATTGATTTTTACTTGTAAATATTCAAATGTTGTATTTTTTCTCTTGTAACACATTTAATTGCAACTAATTTTGCTTATGTTAATGTTTTCACGGAACCACAGTATTTCAGCAGCTTTTTAGCGTACGAACTAGGATTTTTCTTTTAACCTTTTTCTAAATTTTGCAGCACAATGCGCAAAGTTTTTGACCACATAGGTCTTTTATCGTTTGTTCTTATTACTTTACTTTAAATTGTATAATGTACCGATCATCATACCGAGTCAGATGCGCCATCCACAATTTCTTTCCTTAAAGGACACCATCCTCGGAACAGCAAGCATTGAAAAAGGCATCGAATATACAGTGTTATACCCACTTTACATTGAGATAAAAAGAAAATTATTATTTAATTATTAAGTTCTCGTAAAAACAGATCTTTTTCGTATCATTTTAAACAGCAATAACCATGGAAATAAAAAAATATTATTTAATTCATATTTTTAAATGTTTGAAATTGTGGTCTGGATGGTATTAAAAAGTTCCATGGAATTTTGCTTTTGACTTGCGGAACCCCTAAGGAGCTGCATGGGATTCAGTCTCAGGAACGATTTGTAGAACAAACAATCAGTTGAAGAAACAATCAGAAGAAACAATTTGTGCAGCTAGGACTGAGGAAAGCGGTCCACTCCGCATAATATCCCCCCCCCGAAACAGGAAAAGGAATTAGATAGCACGTTTGAACACAAACAGAACCATAATCTTAAAAGCTGTTAAATTCTAAAAGTAACTCTATTATTACTATTTAACTCACTGTCATTTTATTAGAGGAAAATTTTATTAATCAAATGTAAATAAAAGTAGCAACATTTCGTTATATTACCAAATTTGCATTTAATATGTGCATTTAACATTGAGTAAATGGGTATCTCGGTAATTTGTATTGAAATTGAATAAATGCAATTGACCACTATCTTAGCTGTAACTGTAATTCCACCCTCGAATTGTTTTCCAGTAATTTCTAGAAGCAGAAAGTACTAGAAATCTCGCGTCCGGTTGAAAACCGTTAAAGGGTGAAGAGAGAGAATCTGCTCTCAATTGCTTAGTTAGCTGCTGTTGTTATTGTTGCGAGTTCAGTGTGAGATCGGATTAGCTTTCTTTTTAGATATGCTCTGCATTGCGTTGTGTAGCAGTTTGTAGTGTAACTACTCATTATACAGTGTGATACTGTGAATAAACAATTGTACGAATATTTCTGTGGAAAAATTCCAGAGTTCTGAAATATTTCTTTTGATAAAAATAAATTTTTATTAACCAATTATCGGACTTGTACATTCAGTCTATTACGAACCCATACGCACGCAACAGAATTAAAAGTTCAATTTTTTGCGAAATCAATTTATAAGGTATTTCTCCCGCCTTCTTAGCGTACCTACGTAGCGTAGTGGTCAGCACGCTGGGCGTGTATTCCAGAGGTCCGTGGTTCGATTCCCGGCGAAGACGTTGCTCATTTTTCACTTCTTCCAGTTTTAAAAATAACCTAATGACTCTACAGTGGCGCCCGAACTAAAAAAGGGTGGTGGATAATGCTTCTCCACACCCAGGATCTGGCGATTCGGTACCCTAAACCCAGTCGCCCTTTAAAATGTGGAGTATATAAGTTGTTTCTCCCGCCTTCTTAGCGTGCCTTCGTGGTGTAATAGTCTGCACGCTGGGAGCGTATTCCAGAGGTCCCTGGTTCGATTCCCGGCGAAGGAGTTGCTCATTTTTCACTTCTCCTGCTTCCATAAAATACCTAATGTCTCTACAAATTGAAAATGTTTATCTCTGAATACCTCAATAGCTTCAACATGATTTAAGAACTTCATACGTATGAAGTGCGTTATCAGACTGGAAAACAAATTTTATGCACCCCCCCCCCCCGTCGAGCAAAACATTTTCAGGAATTCGTATGGCTATATCATTTTGAGGTAGAATTTTACACTTGATTGGTTGACCTACGCGCAACATGGAGTTAAAGGCAACCTTTTCAGTCTCAGTGTTAAAGTTTCGGGTGGAAAACTAGTCTATCAAATAGGTCTTGAAAAACACGTTTTTAGATAATATTGGCCTGTTGTGTTAGCCACTTAAAAGGAAAGGGGTGTTTCAATAGCAAAGCAGGCTAAAATTAACACAATTTGAAATTCTTCTAACTTCTCTTTAAATATATAGCTGAAAGGGTTGGTAATCAGATTTCATTGAAAGCGATAGATCACCAGTTTTTAACTGTCACAGACAATGTTTCTGAGATAGAAATACTTTTTAATGACAGTAAAAGAAGAATTATAATGGTAATACATAAAAATGGTAATCGACGGATATTGAAGTTAATGACGACAGCAACAGCAATGAGGAAAATGTAAATGTTATGCTGCTGATTTAGAATAATATGTGGTTCTTTAATATAATAATTTCTGATTGACTTCATGTCCACATTATTACAAAAGGAAGAAATCATTTCCAAAATAAAGGTATAAAAATAAATATTTTGTGTTCAAGAAAAATAAAAACCAAAACTAAAGGAAACCTACGTTGCTTTCCGAAAGAGAATTTTTTACAAAGAAATGTCTTATAGCGAAAACCTTCTGCAATCAATAGATGGTATATTAATCGGTCATCAATCAATTATATTTATGTTTCTGTCCTTTGTTCGCTGTTACTGAATAAGACAAAGCATCAAAGTTTGTTAGCAGATTTCAGAAACAGTGCAAACTTGAAGAGAAAGTTACTTATCATAAAACCTCAGATGAGCATTTATAAAAACCTTGGCAAATTGAGTTGTTGTTATTATTTTCGAGTCCATATTTCATTGAAATATTTACAGCCCCCATGCCGGAAAGACACTATACATTTACAAGTATCCATGCCTTCTCCGGAATTCGAATTTGATCCTTCTGTACGATAGTCAGAGTCACTAACCACTATCCCGTCTGGACGACTGATAATTTAAGCAATATTATATTATACAAGATAAACACAGAATTAATCGGCAGCAAAAAATATAGATGAAAGAATAGTAATTATTATGATGATCTGGTTGTTGTATATAATGCTACCATTAGCCAAACAAAATCTAGCGTTTCCTAACGAGAATTCCATGAAAAGGTATAATATATTTCTCCCTCCTTCTTCGCATGTCTTCGTGGTGTAATGGTCAACACAGGTCGAATTTATTTCAAAATATAACATCCCATGAGATGAAATGCTAGCTATTACCAGAGGTGCGAAATGAATTTATCAGTATTTTGTAAAACTGGACGAAGGGCAAACTCATCGAAGATACTACTGTGGCCACAACATCACACCTGATGTTTTACATAGAATTCTAAATGGGCGAATTTGTTATAGAAAAACTGATAACAGAAGAACTCAAATCAAAGCAATATTTTGGGGATTTTTAAAAGAAAATGCAGGTGCTAATTTTCATGATGACATTTTTTCAGAAACTTCAAAATGGCAGGCTAGATATGGCGTATCTCTCTAAAAGATAGGATTACACAGCAAATATGGATGGCTAATATTTCTGGCGCTATGAGCTTAGGTGGTAATTAAAGCTTTTTCTAGAATAAGGCATCTCAAACTTTCCTGAGGACGATTTACAAAAAATTTCTTATATGTCTTAGATAAATTCAAGTATTATTTTCTTACATTTTAAAAGATTTTGAACACAAATGTTTAAATTTAAAAAACATATAATTCGAAAAAAAAAAAGCTTTTTTCCATTGTTTCTGAGAATAATCTACAAACCGGCAATAAATGAACAAATAAATTAAAAAATTAAAAAATACTCCATTCCTTTCTGACTCTTCATAAGATTTATTTTACATTATTTAACATTTTTAGAAATTATTTATTTATTTGATTTGATAATAATATTTATTGTTTCGCTTTTACGTAAAATTATCTCATTTTAAGTACCACAAATCAAATAACATTTCTTCCTTTTTAATCTTTTCAGCAGAAGTAGAATGAGATGGGATGAATTTATAACTCGAAACTAAGGTAAAATTATATACGTAACCGAGTTAGATAGAGCTTAATAAAACAGATTCTCCTACTTTGCTGCTGCTAAGAAGTAAGTGAGAAATATTGTTAATTCTAAATACTAATTATAGTTCTAAGTACACATTTAACTTATGTATCTATATTTATAATTTATTAATGAGATACCTAGCTCTGATGTCTTCATGACTGATGTTTAGATGTTAAAATGATGTTATATGACATAAAATTGTTACATATTTTCATATTTTTCTATAATTTAGGATGTTCCTTTAGAGTTTGCTAGTCAATCAAACTTAAACACAGTCCTCTTATAGCAAAAGAATTTAATCCTAATTCTGACCTCCATTTTTTTCCTTTTTTGTGTCATTTCATTGAGAAATGTAGTTGTTATTAAGAATGGTAAACGTCAATCAGTTAAAATTTCACCATTATATCTGAAAGCAAATGACAAACATGCACGAGAAGCGAATTACAATATTCAAGTCACATACTTGTCTTTCGACGAAAATATCAGAAATATATATTATTCAGCAAGTTTACCTTTTCGTCACAAAGGAAAAATCGGTCACTAAGGAAATTTTAATGCATGGATACTAAAATAATTTGGTAATAATATTCCTTATTTATTATTTTTTTTTCCATACATACGCTAAAAAGATGAAGTCGACTTTTCTTGCAGAATAACAATTACCGTAAGTGATATATGTGACTTTCTTACTCCTTTCGATTGACATATTTTGGCGTAAAAGTAGGAAATAATCATGAGTATTAGTTTCAATTAGTTCGATAACGCAACTACTGGATTGCTTTATGTGATTCAGGCAACGTCTTGTCCATCATTCTCTCTTTCTTTCCGGAAAAGAGTGATTACTTGAACTCCGAAATTGCGTCGCGCATGATGTCCGAAATTGCGTATGAGAAAATTCGCTTAATTCACGATCCTAATTGAATTTCACGCCCCACTGATGCCTTGGCGATCACACATGATTACTTGTTAAAGATCTCATTAAACTTAAGCCTCCGCACCAGCTTATCTAATGAAATAATTCATTTAAAACGGTTCAGGCTCCGTAAGTGCGTGCTTAAAAAAGTATGAAATTTTGAATGAAACGTTAATTCAGAAAATGCAGTTTTACAAATTTTAAAGCATGTTTTTTGTTCTTATTACGGTTTTATTAGCCCAAATGGCTATTAATTTCGTTTTGAAATTTTGCGTGGAAAACTTTAAAAGTCTGAATCACTTTTCCAATTCTTGCCACCAAATTTTTTCGCCCTGTGTTATATTTAAATAAATTATAAAATGAAGAACTGCATAAATGTATGTATGTTTCTCGCATTATGATAAAATAACGGTACTTAAAGCCATCCAATTTTGAATAACGCGCATCTCCACCCGAATATGGGCATCTGGAGGCTCAAATTCGGAATTTTTTTATTAGCTATTTCATATTTTGTAAAGCATTTATGAATTTTTGATTAAAAAACTCAACGATTTCAAAGCGAGCAATGGCAACAGTGTACAGATTAATCTCCAGCGATTCTTTATCTCCAACGCGTGAGGCTGTGTATCGGAAATTTTATGCTGTCTTTAAATTATTTTGTGATATTGCTGTTGTGCGGAGAACATAATATTTAATAAATAAAGGTAACACACAAAACGTTAAAAAACGCCCCTTTGGGCGTAATATAAAATCTGAAAGCTTTCAGATTTTTTTGTAAAAACATTTAATTATCACTTTAATATGCTTTTTATGTGAGTTTTCAATTAGTTATATATATTGTCTTTTTTGTTTGGTTGTTCCGTTCAGACCTTGAAATTAATTTTAACCATAACTCTATTCTCCTATGCATTTATGATAAAAATATGTTATTATATGGGAATTTGTTCACAGTTCAATATAAAAATCTTTTTATTTAGTTTGCGCTACTTAACGTTAGTACTTAAACGTTGATCATAAAATACATGTTCTGTTGAATTCTTAGTCTGCAAGAGACAATTCCTCGTCTGTTGCTATTTTAGTTTTCAAACGCTAACTGTATTAATAAATGTTTGCCCATTTAGCTTCAAAAATGTGTTCTGAATGTAAATTTTTGCATATAGTTCTGCTAAATCTAGTGCTTAAGAGTTTATAAAAAATTTGCAGGTCTTGGACAGCAAACTGTTTGATCAAATTACAGTTCTTCTTCCCTCATCTATTCGTCATGACGCCAAGTATACTTTTCACTTGTTTATTTTACCTCTCCGCATCACTGTAACAGCTTTTCTATCTCTATAATGCTATTTTTAATGTGAGGAATACCTTGATTTTGAAAGACATATTCATTTGCTTTAAAGAGCTCTTGTAATGATAAATTCAAGAATGTTTCTTTCATACAAGAAAAAAAACCCAAGAAGATTCAAGTCATTCAACTTGACGTCAGGTCCAATGTTCTCAGAAAACTACTCCGCCCCCTTCCATTTTGCTGATTTCTTATTGAGAGGGCATTCCCTCTGACGTCAAAGAAGCCACGTCTGACGCATTAGGATTCCGGCTGGAAGTAGCTGAGCTGACCAGTTCGTATGCCTACCACGATCACTGGAATTGCTTACCACGAACACTGGAATCTGCCTTGCGATGTCAAAGAAAAAAGATGAGGAAAAAACGCTTTATTATAGGAAATCACGTGGACTAAATGTACCAGATATCGTGTAATTTTGCCTTTTAATTTAATCTTTCGGTTTTCTTACTTGTTGATTTCTGTAAGTGAGTTCTTGTTTTTGGCAGGGAAGTGGTTGAGTTCATTCTCCATGATCATAAATTTAATGTAACGTAACGTCTAACCTTCCTATTAGAACGAGTTTCTTGATATAAAATAAAAATTTTCGAGTTTGTTTTTAGTTTACATGCTTTAAGTTACTTGCATTTACCAAGATTGTGCTTAAATGAGTTATCAAAAGATATATATAAAGAAATAAGAATATAGGAAACTTAATTCTTTCAGTTTATAAAACAAATAATAAAATTTTATATTTCTCTTCATAATTACTCTGCGTTTGAGAAAATTCATTTTGTATGACAAGATGATCTTGCATCACAAAACTGATTTATAAATGTAAAATTAAAAATCATATAAGTATCTGATATGTTTAGATAGAACAGGAAAAGAACAATATCAAGAAACGCTTTAAAATAAACTGCGTTCACTCTTAGAGTCGAATATCGTCGATGTGCAACGATCTATGCGCTAACTTTTATACTTCGACAGCATGTAAAAAGAATCCATTGATTCCTCACAAATTAATTATTTATCATTTACTAAAAAAATATTCAAGTAAAAAGAGATAAAACTGAAATCATATACTTTTCAAATGTATCTGAAATACTTTTCTGCTCAAATTTACTTAACATCAACGAGTTAAAATAATTCCAAAGCGTCAATTTTAGAATCAAACAAGTTAGGATGTTACGTAAGAGGCAATCGAAATGTTGTCTTTCGAGAACAGTATCATCTAACGGATTAGGTCAATTTCATAAAATCACCACTGATATTCAGACAATTGTCCCATCGTCGAACGAGGATGAATCTTCCTCTCTGCCTTGTAGAACTGTTGTATTTGCTGCACAATAAATACTAATACAGTCATTTTCCTATTAGCTTTCGAGAACAGTATCATCTAACGGATAAGGCCAATTTCATGAAATCACCACTGATATTCAGACAATTGTCCCATCGTCGAACGAGGATGAATCTTCCTCTCTGCCTTGTAGAACTGTTGTATTTGCTGCACAATAAATACTAATACAGTCATCTTCCCATTAGCGTCTGAAGCTTTGTCCTTTTTAGGAAGTTTTGTGAACTAATCATTTTGTCGTCTGTTCATAGACTGATCTAGTCATCAACTGCCTGCATGGTGTCATGAGGTCAAACATTCTGGACTTAGCAGTTATATTCTTCTCGATCGAGTTGATCATCATTCTCGATCAACTAACAGCAATTATCTTCTTCTCGATCAACTCATATGCTGTGTTGTATGACAGCTGTTGAAATTAAAGGTTGGTCCTAATGTCAAATAATGAAACAGTCAAACATTACAGCAGACGTTAAGCGACTTGTTGCTATGTTTGGAGAACAACAGAGACTTGAGAAGGATGTGTAACAGATCCTTTATTTAAAACCTAAATAAGATGAACAGAAGGCGCACTTGGTGTTTGCAAGTCTGCCAGCATTTATAGCAAGAAGTGTGTATATATAGAGGGTGATTCTAAATTGTTTTTACAAACTAAGAGGGGTGATAGTACCCATCCAGACGAGCAATAACTAACATAGAACATAGGGTCGCATTCCATTCTGAGAGGCAGAAAAGAGGGATATTAGAATCCAAACCTGAACTTACGACAGTGCTGCGAAAGTGAATGAATAAGACCAAAAGTTACGCAATAATTATTGTAATGTTTAGTGATTAATAATAATTGTATTCTTTAGCGAAAAACTCAGAGAAAATGCTCAAAATGCCGACCACGCGTTTCGTTTCACAGTTGACATCAGCGAAGGAACACCCTCTCGAAAATTTCTGGTGGTATCGTGCTAATTTTGTCAAGATATGGTATGTTGCACCGGTCAAACGGTATGGCATGATGTAAGGGCCTACCAGGTAATCACATAGGATACCTGCCCATACTTTCACGGAAAATTTTTACTGATGTTTATGAGGGGTAGGGCAGTGGGAATTGCTGTCAGACCAAGCGTGCTGACTGTTCACGTTGAAACTGCCTTCTCTGCTGAATGTTGCCTCATAACTAAATAATATTAATGTAGGAAATCGTGAGGATCGTTATTCCTCATTCTAAGCATCCACTGCACAAAGTCTGCCCGGCAGGGATAATCATCTGTGTCCAAAGATTGCACTTTTCGTATGTGGTAGGGCTGCATGCGTTCCTAGTGTAAAATATGCCACACTAAACTGGCTGAGAAATACCCATTTCGTATGCCACCACTCGCATACTTGTGGAAGGGGCTGCTTCAAATCTAGTCAAAACTCGCACTTCCCTTTCGGGCGTTCGTGCATTCCGCAAACGTCTTGCATTGCTTTTTAAAATGGCAAAAGAACCTGTTTCTCGCAGACTACGATCAACACTTCAAAATGGTTGGACGACTTGGAATCCGACGAGTTGGAAACCACTGCTGGTACAATCTTCGTGCTTCGCGTCCATTCTCTTTCCTTCACCCTATGTGAGGTGAATATCTGCCAGTTCCTTGTATGTGTACTCCTCCATAGCATTCACGAAAGTTTTCGGACGATGTTATCGAAAGCAAAGTTTTCAAGGGCACCATTTGCTCTTATTGGCTTTCTCATGTACAAAATAAGAGCAAAAGGCTGCTTCTTCTCAGTGTAAATTTGCCTACGATTAATTCTTGATAGTTTTAGGAGATAGTCTCCTTGTTTTTCATGGATGCATTTCTACGTTACTCTTTTCTGCCTCTCAGAGTGGAATGTGACCCTATTTTCTATGGTAATTATTGTTCATATGGATGGGTACTATCACCCCTCCTAATTTGTAAAAACAATTTAGAATCACTCTGTATATATAAAATTAGAGCATATTGGGTAAAACAAAGTATTATTATCCTATCTGAGAAAAAGGTGTAGGGTTAAAAAATATAGGTGTAAAAATTTAAAGTTGACAAAATGTCAAGTTATGCTTTTTGTACGTACGGGAATTTGAAACTACTCGGAACAATGGTGTAATGGAACAATAGTATAATCTTTAAAATTAAAATTAACCGTAATAGCAACAGTGAAAAATACAAAAAGCAATGTATATAAAAATGAAAAAGGTAAAAATCAAAATATTAATCTCCACTGTTACTGTTTCAAACAGAACTTGTCAAGGGGAAATATCTGAAACACTAAACCTGGACGATTGATGATGCATATCGCCCTTTTTGTTTAAAGTTTAAAGCTATTCTTTAACCATTTTCCAATTGGATATATTTTCGTTTGTAATATGAAAGTTGGCGCTCGTTATTTAAACTATTGTTGCGGTATAAGGACCAATGTAAAAAAAATTCCCAACTCTTCAGAGTATTTTGAAATAATTTTCATTATAGCAATCACTCGTCATTAAATAATTATTCTTTAAAATACTAGAGGTCATTATTAAACGGGAATCAAGTGCACTACGTTAGAAATCACACATATAATGGACAGAAAGATAGATAATCGAAAATATAATGGCAATTATATTTAAATCCACTTGGGAAATTTGCTGATAATCCAGTTAGTCTCCATATTTTCGAGTGCTGCGTTCTAACTTTAATGATGAACATCATTTTAATACTACACTCTAATGACAAAATGCTGTGCTCATATTAGCCACGCAGTTGAGAATATCAACCAGCTCCTCAAGCTATCTCTATCAAATGAACAACTTCTTAGAGAATGTCTAAAGGTTTCTTCAAACTTGGTTTATTTCGTGTAGATTGAAATCTTTCAATAATTCAACTGTCTTCTTAGTTTAAGCACTTACTAGTAGTACTGCCTTTGTTCACTAAAATTGGGTACTAAGATCTGCGATAGTCTTCCGTTCAGACACTAAACATCCTATGAATGACTGAAATCTGTATTCTGAGCGATAGCCGGAGCTCTATAGAGCACTTGGCTGAGTTGTGGAAACATGGAGACAGAACTACTTTGAATACTATCCAGCATGTGGGTTGTGTGCCCATAATAAGATATTTTTCAATAGGTGCCTTCCCATGTAGAGGTTTGTGGGAATGAGATAGCAGATGGAATGGCTAGGGAAGGCGGCTTTAATGATTCTCCTGATGGTGGCTGTCTTCCTTTCTCGGAATTTGCTTCGCGGGTCAAGTTAGAAATCAACTCCTCTTGGAGAAAAAATCCCCTCACATGAGTGGTACGTTGGCAACCTCCCTGGCGCTGTCTTAACAGAAGTAAACATTAGATTTGAACAAACGGTTCTAGCTAGGCTGCGAACTGGTCATCTGCGTGGTCTACGTTTTGTGTCGGGCATTAAAGTCTATCCGTTTTGCTCGAAATGCAACTTGGCTCAAGCCACTTCTGCCCATATATTCTGTTGCACCGATTGTCTGTGGAACCAACTGCTTTCCTGTGCTGGAGTTGTTTTTCGCGGTTTGAAGTCCAACGGTTCATGGACCTGATCTGATGTTGCTGTCGAATGAGTGGGATAAGGCACAAACAAACAACAAGCTGAAATTTGTGGAGGTGTCTCCCTACGTTGGGCAGTCAACCAACCGATGAATGGCTAGTGTACCCTTTGGCTTTTCTTTTGGACTATGTTAAATATTCATATGCGCATCTTCCAGATTTATTAAGGTGTTATAAAGACTTACTGTTGAAAAAATAATACAATAGAATAAACGAGTAAACACAGTACCTCTCCAAAGTTCTTTTAGAGTTCTGAATAATTAAAATACATACAATAATTAAAATACATGTACGGAAAAGCAGAAAGAGAATTCTGTGTAGAATGTGTTCACTATTTTGTTTCACAACCTCTTGCAAGCGAACCTTCGTATTTGTCATCTAAGCGGCTCAAACGGTATAGTGATTAGGGGAGCCACTGCGATACGATGGGCCAGGGTTCGAATTCCGGAGAAGGCATGGATGTTTGTAAATGTATAGTACCTGGCTAGCATGGGACACTCTAACTATGCGGCGAGCCAAAAGTCTTTCGAGAGAGGTTAATAATAAGGGAAGAGGGTGCATCATCGGGCCCATCATCTCAGAGTGCTTTTCTTCAAAATTGGGGACGAAATTCAGCGAAGTCCTACTATCACCTGTATGGTACTCAAGGCTCTTGCAAACGACAAGCGCAATCTTGCTTTCGTTG